TTGGTGTGCTTATTAAATACAACATTCACATCAAAATGTTGACTGAAAGGTATAATACCGTATTTTTGCTAAACGAATTTTCGAGTACGAAAGAAATTTAATAGTGTTAAATGTGTTTGTGCAAGTAAATTACAGCTGGTCGAACATCAAAAATCAATGTAATACTACGTTCAAATTGACGAGCTAAACATGTTTAATGGGTTTGAACCAGTTAAATGAACAAACATGTTCATAAACAAGTTAGGCGACGATACCCTGAAAGAATTGGGGCTGTGATAGATAGGAAAAATCATACCTTGAAAATAGATCCAGTTATTAAAATTCCACTCAAGAATAAAACCGTTGGGGTATTAATTTTTCTGAGGCATCGATCCCGGAGGCAGTGTTGCCCGCTCTGAAATCTCTACTTAAAAAATATTCACATCTCTTTGAGCCTTTGAGCGCAAAAATTAACATTAAAACTTCATCACATCAACATGAGGGCCGAAATAAAAACTACAACAGAAGATCCTATATACGCCAAAAGCTATCCCTACCCGGCGAATATGAGAGAAGAGGTGAACAGACAGATTTCCGAACTACTCGACGAAGGTATTATTCGTACATCCAAAAGCCCTTACAATTCTCCAATTTGGGTGGTACCTAAAAACCCAAAGCCGTCCGGAGAAAAGCAATACAGGAGGTAGTTTACTTTAAACGCCTAAATGCAATCACGATATCCGATACCTATCCCATCCTTGACATCAACGCAACATTAGCCAGCCTCGGCCACGCCAGATACTTCACGACCGTCGATCTAACGTCTGGGTTCCATTTCATTTTCTACCATGAATGGGAAGTACGAATTTTTAAGACTTCCTTTTGGGCTGAGGAATGCGCCGGCCATATTTCAGCGCATGATAGACGGCGTCTTGAAGGAACATATTAGGAAAATATGCGACGTCTATATTGACGATATCATAGTGTTTGGTAAAGATTTAGACGGGCATATGAAAAATGTCGATATAGTATTCGAAAGTCTGGCAGACGCCAACGTCAGGGTAAACATAGAAAAAACAAAGTTTAAGAGAACCGAGGTAGAGTTCCTGGGGTATATAATAACCTCCGATAGTATAAAAGCAGACCCCTCAAAGGTCCAGGCCATAGAAGCTTTGTCACCTTACCGAACGCTAAAAGAGTTTAAAAGTTTTCTTGGAATGTCATCGTATTATCGAAAATTCATCCGGGATTAAGCCAGAGTGGCGAAACCCTTAACCAACCTAACGGGAGGGGAAAATGCGCAGATCAAGGCCAGTTAGTCGAGAAACGTTCGCATTAATCTGGAAGCGGATGCTCTTCAGGCGTTTGAGGACCTAAAAAATTGCTTGTCTGCTCAGACGTCCTTGCTTTTCCTGATTTCGGGAAATCATTCAATCTTACAACAGATGCTTCGAACTATGCCATAGGAGGGGTGTTACTCAAGGCGAACACGGAAGAGACCGGCCAATCGCATATATATAGCGCTCCCTTACCCGAACAGAAGAGAACTACGCCACAAATGAGAAAGAAATGCTGGCAATTGTTTGGGCCCTGGACAATTTAAGATCGTATTTGCATGGCGCAAAGATGACTAAGATTTATACTGACCACCAACCTCTTACTTTTGCATTGGGAAGCAGAAACTACAATGCAAAGCTGAAGAGATGGAAGGCCAGAATCGAAGAGCATAACCTCGAATTGATTTACACTCCAGGTAAATCAAATGTCGTGGCCGATGCTATGTCAAGACTGCCGTGCCAAGCAAACAATTTAATCAGCGCAGAGTCAATGGGTAAAGTAGATGGTGATGAAAGTGGATGCCCGACAAGGATAAATGCACAATTGAACAGCGCTTCAGCTTCAGAAATTGAAAGCGATATGGCGACTGTCCATAGCGCGGAGCAAGATCCATCGGACCTCATTCCCCACGTCGAGTGTCCCCTGAATGTATTTCGCAATGAAATAGTGCTCAGGGAAGGTAATGCTTTGACATGCGTAGAAAACCCACACCCTGGTTTTACTCGACTGGATAGCATCGATAAACCAACAGTAATAGAAGTACTTAAGGAGCGACTCAATCGGTCACTCATAAACGGTATTAAAGTCCCAGAGAATCGTCTGCAACTCCTACAGGAGGTATATTTAGAACATTTTCTCTTATATAAAATTAGGATAACTCAACGGGTAGTTGAAGAGGTGGCCAACGAAGGCAGAATTTGCAAAATAGTGGAAGATGAACATAAGAGGGCACACAGAAACCCCAGGGAGAATAAGGAGCAAATCCTGGAAAAGTACTATTTCCCTAAAATGGCAAGTCCGATAAGGAAATTCGCATCTATCTGTGAAACTTGCCTCACAAACAAGTACGATAGACATCCCGCGGTACCCCCAAAAAACGAAAAATTTCAATCTTGTATTGACAAATTTTCGAAGTTTGCAAAACTTTTCCTTATAAGGAACCGCTCATCCCTCACTCTTCGTGCAAAATTTGCCAAGCTTATCCACTACTTCAAAACCCCTCGGGTCAATAGTAACAGACAATTAGAGAGGATTTATGAGCCCTCTAGTAAGCAATTATATAAGAGGTTTAAGGACTGAATTGTACCAAACTCCAGTGCAAAGAAGTGAAGTCAATGGGCAGATCGAAAGATTTCGTTCAACTTTGATAAAATAAAAAAAAAACGATCAGGTGCACACATAGGGAAAAGTTAAAAACGCCACAAGTAAACATCTCTAAAAGAGGCATATACAGCCCACTAAAAATAGCAGGGCATGCTAGTTAGGCGTCTACAGCCCACAAACAAAAAATAAAAAAATAAAATAAAATTTAAAAAAAGCAAAAAACACTATATAAAAGAGGCTTCTTATAATCGCGGGGACGGGAAATAAAGTAATGAAGTGATTAGATAGTATAATAGTATAAAAAATAATGTAAAAACATAAAAAATAAAATTTAACAAAAAATAAAAAAAAAAACAAAATAATACTAATACTTAACGGATACGCGAAGCACTAACAATTAATTAAGTAAAGAATGTTCCAACAAAAGCTCTAACAGGTACCGGATAAGAAAAACGGTACTACGAAACCTGAGATTTACCACATTTTTTCTAAATCTACCACGTTTTTCCAGAATCTACCACACAGAATTTTTATTGAGTCCGATCACTGGTGCTACTCCGAGAATACCTGCCTGAAATCGGCCGGAAGCTGTTAACAGCTTGTTCCGTTTCGTTTCTGTGGTCCCCCAGGTAACAGTCAAACACTTCCCAGAAAAGCATCATCTCCAAAATAACCTAGCAAATCATAAACATCCATTCAAGTACATATAGAGAAGTACATCGTTTTATGCTAAAAAATTATTTACGGCTTTTTGCATTTTAAGTGACGTTAAGTATTGTATGTACATAAGTATGCGATAAAAAAATAAATAAATGGATGACTTATGTTGTTGTTGCTAGTACTCCCTTATTCTTGTGGCAGCTGAAGCTCCTTATCTGCGGTTGGTGGTGATCGGGCGCCTGGCATTCATGGGGCATAAGTCACAGAGGGTGGTTGACGGGCTCTTTGAAGGCCGTATGTAGTTGTTGTTGTCGTTGTGGCGGCTACAACAACCCCGCCCAGATCGGTTAATATCTCAGCCGTTGTCGTCAAGCTCAACTAACGGAAGCCCTAAGAAGCGTGCAGCCTCAATTCGGTCGGTCCACAGGGACAAAGGCGTTAGCAGTGTCGGGTTTCCCGTTCATACGAAGAGATGTTTCGAGTGGTGGGGTGTCCGCATGCAGGACACTCATTTGGCACATCTGTGTCTAATCTGCTCAGGTATGAGTTTAACCTGCTGCAGTAGCCAGAGCGAAGTTGGGCTATTATGATTCTAGTCACCCGAGGCAGATGAAGCTCCGTCTCGTCGATGTCCGGTGTAATCCTCTCCATCGATTTTCCAGTAATTGTGTTCTGGTTATGATTGCTAAACAAAGTGGAAATTAATGAATTTTTCCACAACATGAAACTATTTTTGCACACTTAAATAAAAAAAAACAATCCAGATTAGGACGTTCCTCCAGCAAACGAGCGATAACTGTTCATATCATTATCATTCCGTTATTATGAATTCGTACGATGCACGATAAACGCTTGCATTCTGTTATCCCCTATTACGAACCGATGTTTGTCGTAGCACATCCAATGGTTAGCGTAATGGGGCTTTCGCACGAGGCGATTTTTCAGGCAACTTTTGCGTTCAACTCACGCAGGGTTGCACGAAAAAGAAAATTGAATGGCTAAAAATATCAAAATATAAAAAAATATCAAAGTATTCGCCATAGAAAGGTGTTTGCGTTGTTCAACTTTGCATTCTACTTTTGGTTGAACGGCCTTTCATGTAATCGCTTTCAACAAAGTAGTCGCCAGCCAACATTTAGCCATTCAACTTTTTTTTCGTGCACCCTGCGTGAGTTGAACGCAAAAGTTCATCGCCTCGTACGAACACCTTTTAACTGATTTTGGTTAATGATAACGATAAAAGGTGAACAAAACCAAAGACATGCAAAATAATACATCTGTCGGGTGTATGAAAAGAATAATACGAAAACTAATTCCTAAGATACGTTTGCAAGCGGTTATCGTCTATCGTATGGAAATTCATAATAGGAGGGATTAATGCAAAAAGCGCTATTTGAAAATTTTGGAACTTTGCAGAGGATAAATAAAGCCGTTTAAGTTTAGATAGGAAATACAGAGCTGTTGTTCAGATGCCAATATGACATGATTTTGAAATTTGATGGGAAGCTAAACGAAGGCAGATATAGTCTCTTCCTAGCAATGTATAAAATAGGTAAGAAAAAATAAAAAAAAGCATCGTACGGCAACTTATTTTGTTTGATATATTTATTTAATATATGTAGTCACTCAAATTATTTACGTGTTTGCAATTATTTGTGTTATATTGTTTTGTTTTTGCAAAAAAAAGGATGCCTATGAACGAATATTTATTATTAATAATATGTAGGTATGTATTTTCTTATATTAATACTCAGTGTGAAAAAAATAAACTTAAAAACTCTACTTTCGAATTCATTTCTACGCATTCTATAAATTTGATATTTTAAAACAGGATATTTTTTAAACAGTTATAGTTGTTATTTGTATCATTATGTAGGCATATTTGTAGTAGGCATTTGCCACAACATTTGAGAGCAAGTGCGGAAAATTCAAAAAAAAAAAAGAAAACGAAGACATACACATTGATTTGTGTCCCTTCTGCAACAGAATCCAAAGTGTATGAATATCACCCCCTAGGATATTCATCGTTTACAAATATTAAGGGAAAACGGGATATTCTTTTAGCAATAATTTATCGATTAGTCAATCTCGTATACCTCATTCTCTTTGAATCCGGGCGGGGGGGGCAGCTTCAAAACCGACACCCGATGGTGCTCCCGGGCCTTGCCCTACAGCTTCAATCTGCTGACCGTTAGGCCCACCAGCTGCTTGGAAATAACCCGCTGCATTGGGATTTTGATTTGCGTACAAAAGTGGACTCATGTACATGCCGCTCGGGTGGGCGATTGTGGCATGTATGGCCAGCAGATCTTTATACATTGTAGGATTGTTATTGTTCATTTCGGTGTACAAATGTTGTAAATACGTGGGAACAAGTTGAAGAGCTTGAGTATGTGTTACTTCCGGATGATCCTTGACAATCTTCATATTTAGCAACTGCAACAGCACATCGGAACGAAAGCCGAATATGCGATTTGAGGTTACTCCACCCGAAGCGTTGCCAAATTGACCGCCGAAAGCACCACGATCGTAAGACATATATTGAGCAGTTTGGACACTACGAGTTTTCTCTGCCTCATATTCAGCCCAAGCAGCTTTACGTTCATCTTCATTGAGATTCTCACTTTCCTCGTTCTCTAAAAGCGAGTCATGTTCGTGGTATTTGAATATCAATGACTCATGTTTACTCAGCAACTCTGCAAATAACCGATCTTTGGGCAATATTGGTATTTCTTTTTCAGTGCTGGGTTTCAGCTCGTAGGAATATAGTTCCTGAAGATCATTTTGATTGTAGTGTCGAGAAATTTGTTGCTCATCAATAACTCTCTTAGCTGTTGCTTGCTTTGCAATCTGACGCTCATATACTTTTTGCTCCATTGTACCCATGGCTATTAGGCGATAAATGTAGCAAGGTTTAACCTGGCCAAAACGGTAAACTCTAAAAATGCTCTGGGTATCATGAGAAGGATTCCAAGACACATCGAAAATAACTACGCGATTTGCAGCAACTAAGTTGATTCCCAGGCCACCCGCACGCGTTGATATAAGAAAGAGGCGACCTCTTAAATTGTCAACATCGTTGAATTTCTTGCACATAGCCTCACGACTTTCGACAGAGCATGAGCCATCTAGACGAAAATAGTCTATTCCTGGTTGCCAAAAACCTTTGAAATCTCCAACGTCACCTAGAAGATGTTAGAATATATTATTTTTATATTTTTTGTAAGCAGCTTAGTTAGTATGTTTTACCATCATATTCGTTTCCTCTTGTCTTGCTGTCTATTAACGCCAAAAAATGTTCTATAACATCTATAGATTGCAGAGACTGTGAAAACACCAGAAGTTTGTCGCCAATAACTTCGCATTCTTGCAACAAGTTCATTAGTATCACCAGTTTCGGAGAATGATTTATGTTGTTCAACTCTTTTTCCTCCACAAAACGCTTCCACCATTCGGATGGATCAGCTTCTGGTTGCGACGGCTCTATCTCTTCGTTGTCACTTTCCTTGTCAGTTTGTTTACGGCTGCGTGTGCGAGTGCCTTTTGAGCCCCTCCGTGCACTACCGCTTGCATTGCCGCCGCCGCCACTAGCAAATGATTTCGATGAATTTGCCGATGAGTCAGATCCAGAACCTGACTCTGCTTCGTCATCATCGTCGTCAATAAAATCTTCCATTGAATCGGAGTCAATAGCCTGTTGACGCTTGCGAATAACCGTGTCACTGTTCATTCGTAAATTCATGGGATGGGTCCATATTCTACGCAAATCCTGAAAATCTTGGAACAATCTTGCCCCTTTTCCGCTAATATCGGAACCACTGACATCACGCTGGGTCGTCATATAATAATCGTACAGCTGCTGCTGCAAGTCAGATAGAGTTGTGTGAACTGTGTATTCATGCTTCGGCGGCAAATACGGTGCCAGCACCGAATAATCTCGCCTTTGAATGCAACCCTCCAACATTTTGTGCAAAATATGGGATCGATGCTTCATCAGGCGAATATCTCGCTCAGTTGAATCCGTATATTGGCCATTGGTGATCGGATTTACAAAACGATTTAAATACTCTTTATATGTGCCAAGAAGATTCGGTTTGATGAACTGTATCATGCAGTAATCTGAAAAGAAAAAATGGTGTAAATAAATGAGAATGAAAGTTTAAGATGATATGAAGGGGCCATGGATGCTGCTATTTGCGTTTATATCGTAAGCGACAATTTATCATGCAAATGGGAATAAGAATTAGTTACGACGCCCTTAAAATTCATAGTTTGAAAATATGTACCCTTAAGGAGTACAACAATTATAAAAATTCAACAATTTTTTATTTAGAGTTTTTAGAAAAATTTTAGGTACATACATTAAATCACTTCACATGTGTACATGAGTAAATCGAACATATATTTTAGAGAAACTAAAAGGATAGGAACATCTGAGATAGGGCGTTTTCCAACTGGCTACCAAGATAGGCCGATCTTCAATTCAGGTGTCGATTTTATGGTAAAAGGTATGTGCAGTAGGGCGGGTGGAAAATTTAATTTTTCTCAAATCCCTAGGTAATAGTAAAAATATATTGTACGATCTTCCACTTAGTTGCCGAAATAGTGTTTCAAACAAAGCACGAATACCAATCGGATGCAGATTTTTGTAAAAAAATAGGCTTATGGGGCATGTGACTGGTGGGACATTTGACTCTAGAATTTCATAAACTGTGAATTATAACTACTTCGTCGAAAAATATACATATATACATACATATACAAAAACAGTTATGTGTTTTTTAATAACTTTTCAGGAGAGCAAAAAAAATGATTCCTGGTGCCAATAGGCAATATTTTGCAAGTGTCGTATTAAAAATATGCTATTGATTTAGGAAAAAAATCAATTTTTTTGACCAATTACGACGTAATCAACATTTGCGCCACTTTAAAGCGCATAGCCGTTTTTATATACGATTTAAATTTGCTTTGGCGGTATGGAATCGTATGCAACTTGTACATAATACTGCCGTTAGGCCTAGATGCAATGTACAGAAGTTGAGGACTCGATTATTTACATAACTGCCCGTTGCTCCTGTTATGTAATGAAAAATGGTAGAAATGTTTTTATTGGATTTTTGTAAAAAAATTTATGCAAAGTGTTGAGTATTAACTTAATATGAAAATTTCAAAATGCGATATCTCAGCGAAGAAAAATGATATTTGAGCAATCAAAACGCCATTTGAAAGAAGAAGACTTGTACTTAAAGATGCCAGCCTGATACTTAGGTGAAAGAAAACATCTGCGAGGCTACATAACCTCAAATATGGGCAAAAACGGTGTTTTTTGTACTTTTAGGTTAGGATATCTGATAGAGCAATTCTGAGGCCAGATTTGGATTCAGCTGTGTAATTAACAATATAAGGATGTGATGGCCTCTCCTGTCGCATACGACTTATGTAACAGGGATTGGCATTGGTTGATCGTCGACTGTTTCATACTCAATCAATACCGCTGCTTTGTATGACTGAGCAGCGGCGTTGGCTTAGTAACGGGTGATTTTTTTGAGGTTAGGATTTTCATGCATTAGTATTTGACAGATCACGTGGGATTTCAGACATGGTGTCAAAGAGAAAGATGCTCAGTATGCTTTGACATTTCATCATGAATAGACTTACTAACGAGCAACGCTTGCAAATCATTGAATTTTATTACCAAAATCAGTGTTCGGTTTTATCGACAAATTTTGTTCAGCGATGAGGCTCATTTCTGGTTGAATGGCTTCGTAAATAAGCAAAATTGCCGCATTTGGAGTGAAGAGCAACCAGAAGCCGTTCAAGAACTGCCCATGCATCCCGAAAAATGCACTGTTTGGTGTGGTTTGTACGCTGGTGGAATCATTGGACCGTATTTTTTCAAAGATGCTGTTGGACGCAACGTTACGGTGAATGGCGATCGCTATCGTTCGATGCTAACAAACTTTTTGTTGCCAAAAATGGAAGAACTGAACTTGGTTGACATGTGGTTTCAACAAGATGGCGCTACATGCCACACAGCTCGCGATTCTATGGCCATTTTGAGGGAAAACTTCGGAGAACAATTCATCTCAAGAAATGGACCGGTAAGTTGGCCACCAAGATCATGCGATTTGACGCCTTTAGACTATTTTTTGTGGGGCTACGTCAAGTCTAAAGTCTACAGAAATAAGCCAGCAACTATTCCAGCTTTGGAAGACAACATTTCCGAAGAAATTCGGGCTATTCCGGCCGAAATGCTCGAAAAAGTTGCCCAAAATTGGACTTTCCGAATGGACCACCTAAGACGCAGCCGCGGTCAACATTTAAATGAAATTATCTTCAAAAAGTAAATGTCATGGACCAATCTAACGTTTCAAATAAAGAACCGATGAGATTTTGCAAATTTTATGCGTTTTTTTTTAAAAAAAAAGGTATCAAGCTCTTAAAAAATCACCCGTTAGTATCGACACCTAAATGAAATTTGAGGATGACTGAACACCAGCGCATAGCGTGCTGTCTTGCAAATACAGCCACCACGATGCTTATAACAGCTCATACCAGGGATGAAAAATTTAAATTTCAGATTGTACCTAATATCATAAAATAAATGTACCTAAATGAGACTGATTGAACCTAAAAAAAAGTTACATCATTCATTTGTAGTTTTTTTTTATAAATTTTATTTAAAACATGAATAAAAAGGATGGATGTACTTTAAACATGATTAGGTTTTTTTTTTTTTAACTGAGCCATATCTATAGACTATAGTCTAATGGGAATCGGAGAAGCGTTGTTTTTGTCTAATTTTGACTACTGAAAAATATTGGCGAAAAAGACAAAAAAACACTTTGCGAAGTATACTTCTTTATCCAGCAACAACACGAAAAGTCTGCTAATTTATCCGATTCTTTTTAATAGGTGCAACAAGTCTAGAGAAAATAATCAAATTGCCGTAAGTAACTTCGAAAGTATTTTAAATATATTTCCGGAAATGAAAAAGCGAATATAGGTCAATAATAATAATAGTACCTAAAATCTACTGACTGTACCTAATGTACCTTTAAGTCATCAAACGTCGGAAAAAGGTACAATTGTACCTACTTTTTCATCCCTGGCTCATACTGATATTAGCTCTGATCCAGTACTCCATGAACTTACAGGATTTTACACGAACTTGCAGGAAGTTGCAGGAAAAATGTTCCCGTACTCAACAATCCTCCAAAATCCTGTAAATGAGAGCGACTTTTGGAGAGTTGTGCAGAGAATGAAGTTGCAAGATTTTACCCGAACTTTTTCTTCTGGTAAAATCATGAAAAGTGTCAAGCAATCACTGGTTGACGTTTTTACAGGAAACATGTTTTTTTTTTGTTCCCGTACTTTTTGTTGTTACTCACTTTTTACTCTCACTTTAGAGAGTAATTTTGCTATTTGACAGTTTTACAGGATTTTTCACGAAAAGTATTGGATCAGAGCTATTGACTTCGGCAAACCTGTACTCCGAATGATCGTGCACGAAACCAGCAAACGCGGCAGTTGAACGGTTCCGAAAGCATGAGAGCTAATCATTTGTTGTAGAAGTCGTTTGACTTCTTGCTGAAAATCATCTGACTTGTTGCTGAAATGACGACGAATGTGGTAAAGGGTAATTTATCGTCTCGTATGTATGTATGTATGTATTTATAGCGCGTCTACCATTCAATTGCTTTGCTCACTGCTGGCTAGTTGTGAGCAGTGTTGCCACTTGAACTTATTTTTAGGTACCAAATCAGTTTCCAAACTACCAAAATTTATTCATCATTACAACGAGATTTCTCGAGTTTGCGAGGTTTTTAGCTACCCAAATTAGCAGTAAAAATTAAAAATGCACGTAATATTTTTTACAGTATGGCTTAATTATTCACACCAATCTTTCAGATTAACCAAAAGAAATTCGGGCTTTAAATAAAATAATTAAGTTATTGAATAAAAAACTTTTGTAAAATAAGTAAATATCTTTGAGATTGACTCAATTCATATCAAAAAAATTTTTTTTATGTGTGAATAAACAAAAGCAGACATTTTATGCATTTCAATAAAAAAAATCCAAATTTGATTCAATTTGCATATACTCACCCTTTTTTATTACCAATACACTCACACTTTGCAAATTGCCTATCACCAATTTTTCTTTCAAGACAATAGGTAATTTCTCGTTAATTTCAACAGCTAATCGGTCATAGCATTGGGAAGTGAGTTTTTGTTTGCAGAAAATTGTCTGTTTAATAAAATAAAGAAAACAAAATTAATATACCCTTATGCACAAGTGCGCTCGGGTATAAAAATAAAGAAATCTTATACGTGTAAGCAAAGTGAAAGCAGTGTTTTGAACGTGTAAACTTAAATTAAGCAAACAAATTTTGCCTACCAAAAGCTTCATCAAACCAACCAAGCTACCAACGGAGAATGAAGCTACCCTGCAGGGAAACCGCGGACTAGTGAATCAAATTTCTAGTTCCGTTCTAGGTCTTTATCGCCAAAAAGGAACTAGGCCGATATGAACTAGATCCCCACCAGTCCAAAATCGGCGAAAAGTGGTACTTTTAAAATACAAATTTTTTTCAGTTTTTTTCAGTAGAAATCGATATCTCTGACGAATTTAGAAATGGTTCGGAACTATAGAAAAAGGGATGCAGAACGAACTAGATCTTATTTGTCGAATTTAGAACAAGTTCGGAACCATCGAATAAGGGATGCAGCGGGGGGCTTCTTTACTTTACATAGATATGTGTTCGGCGGCTTTTTCGTTCAAATACGCTTCTATTTTGCGCTTCGCAGATGCTTTTTCATAGCTTGGTAACACAAAACTAAAATTTGTGTTAACATTTGAACATCGTGGGACCGTCTGGAATCTAAGAAATAACAGCGAGCACCTCTGCAAACTCAGCTACAGCTAAAGGTATGTAAATGTACATTTCTTACAATCATTCAAACAAATTTAATTTCAAATTGAAAAAACGTTTCTTTGAAAATGATGTAAAATCTCACACGGAAGAACCGAAAACATTGAAAAATCATGATATATTTTTCTTTCGTCTGTCGATTTTAGAACTGGTTCGGAACTATAGAATTTAGGACTAGTTCGGAACTATCGAAAAAGGGATGCAGCGGGGGGCAATTGACACTTCCTAGGACATCGCCATGTTAAATTCGCCAGTTGCCTGCATGCAAAAGAGATTTATCGCGAACCAGTACTGGGTCTAAATGTACTAGAAGCGCCCCAGTTCAGAACTAGAGATTTTCCCCATAGGGTACCAATTTTGGTCCAATTGGACCAAAACGGCAACGCTGCTTACAGCATGAAGTACAAACGCAAACTGACCGGCTGCTAGCGGCGCATAAGTTCGGTACCTGCGCACACACGACTTGTATGTGACAGCCGAGTAGCTCCCGGAGACTCGCGTGTGCATCACTGATATACATACATCCTTATCGTCGTTTAAAGTACAAAACCGCGTATCACCATTCTGCAAAACCCCGTAACTGACATCTGCTGCCAAAAATTGGATTTGCTCACACAAGCTCTTGGCTCAATCGTTATCCATTCGTCCTGAAATATACTAGCCATACATGCGATTGCTTTACTATATAGAACTTTACTATATAGAAGATAATTTATGCAACCTCACATACGCGGTTTTGCATTTTGTAGATACGCGATTTTGTACTTTAAACGACGATATGTATATATGGATGAAAATTTCTCAACTGGACCTGACCTCGGATTTCAGTCAAGTTCGAATTTTTTGCGTACAAATTTGTGGGTAGAGAGGTTTATAGATGTGAAAGGGATTCTGAGAATTTTGTTGAAAAATTTTAATTTTTAAAGTTTTTATAAGCAAATATATTTTTAAGCAATTTTTTTTCACATTTTCTTTTAAAGTATTTGACGGAAGCTGATGAAATTTTTTTGCAAGCGTAGTGACATTACAGCTTTATAATTTCGATTTTTTTTAATTTAAACATTCTAAATCGAGCCCTAACCGCCAAAATAACGTAAGCGACATTTTTTTCAAAATTTTCTTTTTGATGCAGAAATGTATTTAGATGCTCTAGGAATATTTCTGCATCAAAAAGAAAATTTTGAAACAAATGTCGCCTACGTTATTTTGGCGGTTAGGGCTCGAAATATTCAAGTTGTATTAAAAATATGGTCTCAATGAGTGTTTTCCATTTCGTTTATATTTTCGAAAACTGTATTTATTGAATAAAATACTTGTAAAAAAAAATTTGTTAGATCTTTTATGTTTTTGACTTACAGCAACATTTGCCACAA